CCGGGCCGGAGTTAGCCACCGAAACGCCGATTCTCTTTCCAGAAGGCCATGCCCAGCAGAGTGTTCTCACTGCAACAAAACGGAATCCAAGGAAGCAGCAGTGCTAAGAACGACGGTGGTCCACGACGACTGGACGCCTACCAAGATCAGGGAAGAACAAGAGAGAGATCCAGTTATACAGAAAATCCGAAAATGGAAAGAGGAAAACGGTCGACCACCTTGGCAAGAAATATCGAACCTAGGCTCAATAGTTAAGACGTATTGGGCCCAGTGGGACTCATTTATCATGGAAGATGGCTTGCTCAAACGAGTCCTGGAAAATGATGACGGTTCAGAGAAGAGAAGACAGTTGGTGATTCCAAAGAGCAGAATAGCCGAAGTACTTCGTCAGTTACACGACAGTCCATCAGGAGGGCATTTTGGTGTGAAAAAAGACCCTTCAGCGAATTCGGGAACGGTTTTATTGGATGAACAGTTCCGACGATGTAAAAGACTGGTGTAAGAAATGTACTATTTGTGCTACGAGTAACGGGCCTTATCGAAAAAGGAGAGCTCCTATGAGACAATATAATGTTGGAAGCCCGTTTGAAAGAATAGCTTTGGACATTGCTGGGCCGTTTCCAGAAAGTGATAATGGAGGCAAGTACATGTTGGTAGTAATGGATTACTTCACTAAGTGGGTCGAGATTTACGCACTTCCAGACCAGAAGGCGGCCACCGTTGCAGATAAGTTGATCCAAGAATATATCAGCCGATTTGGAGTGCCTTTGGAGATCCATAGTGACCAAGGCAGGAACTTCGAAAGCGATTTATTCCAAGGAATATGTGATAGACTAGGTATGAAGAAAACAAGGACTACGGCTTATCATCCGCAATCGGATGGTATGGTAGAACGAATGAATAGAACAGTTGGCAAGTATTTGACAAAGATGGTGTCCGATCATCAGCGAGACTGGGACCAATATCTCCCGTTCTTCACAATGGCCTACAGATCTGCTGTTAATGAATCAACAGGCCAGACACCAGCCAAAGTCCTATTCGGACGCGAGATGCGACTACCTTGTGATCTAGAGTTTGGGTGTCGACCTGGAGAAGATGTAGCAGGTGAAGATTATGTGATCGAATTACGAAGAAGAATGGACGATGTACACGAGTTGGTCCGTTCCCATCTCCAGATCGCTAGTGACCGAATGAAGAAACGGTACGATACGCAAGCCGAAAAGGGGTGTTTTAAGAAGAACGATAAAGTCTGGCTTTATAACCCCAAAAAGCGAAAAGGTTGTTCTCCCAAATTGCAGCAGTTTTGGGAAGGTCCATACCTCATTATGGAGAAGATCAATGATGTTATTTACCGAATAAGCAAGATTCCGAGAGGAAAGCCGATGATAGTACACCATAACCGGTTGGCGTCTTTCGAGGGTGACCACGACGTAGATGAAGAAGTGGAAGTAAACCAAGTCCAAGATGTGTCTGACCTCACGTTTGAGGAATTCATGGGTGCCTATGGAGGTACCGGTAAAGCAAGATATGGTGTTACCACTGAAGAAAGGCAAGATCTACTCGCGCTCCCCGATAACTACTCACTGGCCCTTACCATCCCGGCCAGTATCAAAGATGCACCAGGGTTGGCATCCGTCTTTCGAAGGAAGTTTGGTCGAGTTGCAGAACTTCAATGCCAAGTGCCAGCTCCTGGTAAAACCTTGAAACTTCAAGATGCATCACGTTACCTTTTCTACCTGGTAACAAAAGACACTGCCCGTGACCAACCTACCTACCGAGATGTATGGGAAGCCTTACTTCAGTTGAGAGAGCACGTACTAGAGTCCGACGTGCAAAAGTTAGCCATGCCAAAGTTGGAGTGCCGCCAATTAGATTGGAGGGTTATCCGAAATATGGTGGAGGAGATGTTTAAAGACACCGAAGTCCAGGTGTTAGTCTGTTGCAATCCGCATAGTTACTGGTGCGGAGAGAAAACCGTCCCTTGTCATTTCTATACAACTGGAAGTTGTAAAAGAGGGTCCAGTTGCCGATATCAGCATGTCGTTCCAGTTCCAGTCCCGACAAGGTTCCAGGAGGAACCATCTTTTAAGAGGGGGGCAATGTTACGATTTTAAATGTTATGGCGTATAGAACTGTAAATATTTTATGACTAATTCTTTTGTATTGATTCTCGTAATTTCTAGGTCAAAAAATCTACCTGACAAACAACAATCGAATGTTCTGGGGGCGACAAGCCGATAAAGAACATGTTTTGAGACCAGTCGCCGCCGTGTCTACGTCGAGATCGAGAACGGCATCGTATTTTCTACAAACATTCTGTTACAAGCTGGTTTCATATAAATACCGGAAGAATTTCATTGAGGAGTTAGTTATAAGAAGCTCGCGAACCGCGATATTTAGATGTAACGAAACGTTAATAAATTATTTGTAATTAGGATTAATAAAGACTTTAATAAATTCGTAATTAGTTATCGTGAGTTTTAATAAATTAGAATATAGACAGTAAATTAGAATAAAGACAAATAAATTAGAACAATATAAATAAACTTAACATTATAATGGATTTTCAAGAATTGCCGCCTATTAGTCCCATTGGGTTTTATGGAAAACGTTATAGAACTCTTGCTTTAGCTTCAGATGACATAGCGAGTTCCACTCATAAAGATGCATCAGTGGTAGTCATTCCTCCTGAGATTGACTATCAAACTGACAATGACGACATAGATGAGGATGATCTTCAGACTCAAAGCCTTCCGAATGACGTTCCCGGAGAAATAGAGGTTTATTACACGAGTGATGACTCTGATGACGACGAAGAAGACAATCTTCCTCTTGCCATTAGAAGAGAAAATTTACTGAAGAGTCAAAATAAAACAAAGGAATCTGACTGGACGGAAGAAATTACTGACATTAGTATGACATCTACAACAGGTTATGAGGGTCGTCTGGATAATATGAAAGAACAAATCCGAGGTAAATATCCTATAGAAATATTTGAGAAATTTTTCGACAATGAAATTATTGAATATATTACACAGCAGACAAATTTATATGCCGCTCAAAATAATAACCATCAATTTCATGTAACGCAGGAAGAGATAAAGATATTTCTGGCTGTTTTACTTTTTACTGGATACCATAGATTGCCACGAGAGCGCAACTATTGGTGTTTAGATGAGGATCTTCATATTCCCTTCGTGGCTAATGCAATTTCAAGGAACCGTTTCCAAGAAATTAAAAAATACCTACATTTGGCAGATAATTCGAAAATTGATACAAGAGACAAAATGTATAAAGTGAGGCCTCTCATGAACAAACTAAATAAAAAATTTCAACAATTTGGCATATTCCACAAAGACTTATCAATTGATGAAGCGATGATAAAGTATTTTGGGCATCACTCATCAAAACAGTTCATAAGGGGAAAGCCAGTAAGATTCGGGTACAAGGACTGGATGCTTTGTAGTTCAACTGGTTATTGCTACAATTTTGACACATATTGTGGAGCATCAGTGGATAAACCAAAAGTCGCGGCGTTGCCTTTAGGATCACAAGTTGTTCTAAAAATGCTTGATGTCGTTGATGTGCCTACTGATCACGAAGTATTTTTTGACAATTATTTTACTAGTTACAATTTGATGGAAACTTTAAAAAAAAAGGGCTTTAGAGCAACAGGCACAGCAAGAGAAAATCGTATAAAAAAATGTCCTTTGTTACCTTCCGCTGTAATTAAAAAAAAGAATCGTGGATATTTCGAATATCGCTTTGACAAGACAAGTCTACTACTTTTTGTAAAATGGAACGACAACAATGTTGTCACAATGGCATCAAATTACGATAGTATTGAACCACTTTCAAAAGTGAACCGTTGGAGTGCTGCTGCCAAACAAAAAATTGATGTACCCCAACCAAATCTTTTCTCATCATACAATGCTTCAATGGGCGGTGTTGATCTCTTTGACCAATCGGTTAATAACTACCGAGTCAGTAAACAAGGTAAAAAATGGTGGTGGCCCATTTTTACCCACATGCTCAACTCAGCTCTTGTTAACTCGTGGAGGTTACAAATATTTGCTGGAAATAAAGAAATGGATCTTTTAGATTTTCAACGAGATGTAGTATGTCATTATTTAAGAAGTTTTGGGAAATCTACTTATTCTAAAAAACGACTAGCAGGATCTGTACCAATTAGTCTAAAAATGGATGGAAGCGGTCATTTTCCTAAGAAAATAGACAAACAACTTCGATGTCGCTTATGCCATCAAAGAGTATGTTGGACTTGTATAAAGTGTGAAGTTACTCTGTGTATTGAACGTGATTGTTTTGTACAATTTCATACTCGTTAGATTATAATACAGGATATAACCAAGTATGTACCTATATATAAGAAGAAAATAAAATATTTTCATTTTTACACAATGTTTTATATTTTTGACTCCCGATCATCCCATTGTACTCGTATGAGTACACCTACTTTTTGCTAAAAATTTAAATTTTTTTTTTTGTCAAATAACAATGAATTGTTACTATTTAACCCAGATTCAACAAGGATATTCAAAAAAATCTTGTATTATCGAAAAAAAAATGTGGGATCAAATGGGTTAATAGAATTGTGGTTTAAATAACTTACATTCTGTCAATTTTTATTTTCATCACAAACTACAGTTTCTATAACTGTGGAAACACTGAAAAAATTTATCTGTCTTGGGCATATAACAAAACTGTTATCCTCAACACTGATAGATATCCGTAAGAAAAGAAGTAATTCGTTTTTAAATGAAAAATACACAATTATGTGTAAAACAAAAAATATTTTGATTAACCCAATAAAAACTAATAATAATAGTATTCTTATGTTAATATTTTTTATTGGCATAACTAATAGCATAGGTTACTGATTACTTAGCAACAGATCCGGATTTGCCTTATTTAGTATAACTCTTTATTTATTGTACTTAGTTTATCAATACTTATACTACATTATATTTGATAAAGCCTACCTTATTAAAATCAAATTCAAAAAATTTCAAAAAACTCAGAGTGTCGGACTGAAATAAGCAATTCTTTCTTATAAAAGGAAATGAAGCTGGAATAATATAAAAATTATAAATGGTACCTAGATAACTATTTGTATCAGGATTAAACGAAAAAGCTGTTAAACCAACTTGTATAGGGACTACCAGCTGCACATTTTTCCTTATTTTTTGATATCTTTCTTTCGGTGTATCAAATAAACTAAAATAATAAATAAAAATATGTATAAACACTAGAACAATTTTAATTTTTATTATACTAATTACCTTGGACTATATTCTTTTAATGGATAAAGCGCACTGAATTCTAAATCCACACTCACAAACTTTGCTTGATCTAGAGCCTTTTTTATTTCTGGGAAGTTTTCTTCGAAATTTTTATTATTTATTTCAGTCATTTTTAAATAATGTAAGGTTATGTCATTAATCACTAAACACTAAATATGTCAAACATGGAACAAATCAGTGAAAAAATCAAATACCCTAATCACTTTTAAAACAACTAAATTTCATTTAATGTTTTTAATTGTTGGTTTTTTAATTTGGGCAGAAATATTTAAAATTTTCAACTATTCTGTATATATACCATTTTTCAAAGTAAAACACTTGCACGTCACGATTTATACAAAGTGACGTCACTTGTATTTAAAATTTCCAGAACATCAACCTTAGAGTTCAAATTTTCCTAACACAGCTAATAATACGAAACCCATACGGAACTGCTCGATCTTTCATAGGCGTCAACATTGTGTAATAATCAGAAAAATATAATCATCATTATATTGGAAATTTTAGAATTATATTGATTAAATAACCAAAAACATTTATTATTATTAATAATATAAATTTTATGAAATAACTCTTGAAGTCTAATATTCCACAAAATAATAATTTTAATTAAATATATTAGACAATTGTACGCAACTGATACGGAAATATATTAAATATTATTGACAGTTCAGCGGGTGGTAAAAGTGTATAACGTGTTGCCGGTTTTTTAGAGTAGATATTTTGTTTACATTTTAATTTCTTACACAATTTGATCATAATATAATATATATTAATAAATTGTATTTATAAATGCATTTTAAATTTAGATGAATAGCTTTAAAAACTAATTATTGTTGTGTATTGTGATTGTGATATGCCAAAACAAATAAAAGTGTGTAGAAAGCTGATAAGCTTTTATATAAGATATATTATTTTAAACGAGAAATAATGGCAGGGACGTTTTTGTTATTAAAGCCCTAAAAGGGGTATAAGTTTAAAATTTAGAATATATAATTTTGTATTAAAATGTTTTCTTATGTATTTTAGAGTGTTGTAGTAGTCTTAAAACTAAGTGTATTTACTGTTAATATCATAGTTTGACAAATAGTTGACATTTTAAAAATTCCTCACTTACTAACTATTCTGATGTTTTGGCAACGCTGTGGGGTTCGGACGACGTAAATCATGAATGACGTGCAAGCTTTTTTATCTGAAAAATGCTATATATAGAATTCTGTATATATATTTTTCATCATTATAATAATGAAAAATTATTCTAAAATGGTAAGAATTTTAATCTGCTATTCTTTAGCAGTTCTATTAATGTCAAACAATATTCAGTATGTGGGGATGTAGCTCAGTGGTAGAGCGTTCGCTTTGCATGTGAAAGGCCCCGGGTTCGATCCCCGGCATCTCCAAAAGTTTTTTGTTAAATTATTTATTTGATTTCATTTTTAAGTTGTGGTATTTTTAATTTTTTTTTATTCTTGCCAGGGGTTACAAATCATGAAGAAAACAAAATATTTAGTTGTCAATTAAGATTCAGGAAGTTTTTTGAAGTGGTGATAGACGAGGACGTGTAAATCAAACAAGAGGAAAAATTTAAATATTTAGGTGCACTCATTGATATGAACGGCTTGGGAGAAACCGAAATTAAGCACCGAATTAATCATGGACGTAAAGTCGTAGGATGTCTGAATTCCTTATGAAGGAATCGCAACATTTCCAAAAGGAACAAAAAAAGAATAGGGCAAACCATTGTTAAATCAGGTCTTTGTTATGGCTCTGAAGTATGGACCATTAATGCAGACCTGAAGAGAAGATTGTTGGCAGTTAAAATAGATTATTTGAGAAGACGTGCTAGAACATAAAGGCTGGAAAGGAAGACCAACGAATCTATAAGAAATAACATGAATGCTACAGAAACCATCATAAAAGAGCGATGGAATCGTGGGGTTTGGAGGAAAAGCATACCTTGAATCGGGAGGATTGTCGAAGGAAAACGGGAATACCGTGATAGCCGTCTCCAAAATGTACTGAACAAAATGTAATTTACAATATATATATATATATATATATATATATATATATATATATATATATATATATACATATATATATATATATATATATATATATATATACATATATATATATATATATATATATATATATATATATACATATATATATATATATATATATATATATATATATATATATATATATATATATATATATATATATATATATATAAAGACTAATTTTATTGCTGCCATAATATTCTTACTAGATATCACCCCTTGTCTGTTCATATCTTTGATGATGTCTTCGGCTTCATCTCTTTTCGCAAATGGAAATCGTCTAGGTTGTTGTCTGATTGGCTGAGCGTCTCCAGTATTAATTTTATGCTTTACTATGCTTGTTTTGCCATTATCCTTCTTATCAATGGCAATAACATCTTGAAATTCTATCAGCATAGACTTCACTTTTTTAGTTCGTTCATCATCAAGATCTTGGCACGTTTTATCATCGTCTCAACAAGCTTCTTTGGATACTTAGATTTTTTCTATTATGATTTCTCATTAGTGTTCTTGGAACAAATTGAAGCCACGGGAACACACTGCCCGATCAAAGTTCTTTTACTTAACTTAATAGCAGTTCCCAAATTCATAACTCTTACAGGAACGACATCTCGAATTCTCACCAAGGCTCTTGCCGTTAGGAACTCGGCATTGTTCACATCTTCGACCATCCTTAAACTTCCCTCTCGGCAGTAACCATCAGGTCTGGTCATCAAAATTTTCTCACTATTACCGTGTATTGTTACGTCACAAGTAGTTATTAAACAGATAATATCTTCTTCGTCCTTATGAAACGGCAACTCTTTACCACTGATCTCGAGAACTCCATCTTTGACATTCAATACAGCCCCAACTTTCCTTAGTAAAACCACCCCCATTATGAACTCGTCGAAGATTTCTACAATGAATACTCTATGTTTCATTGTAGTCTGGCCAATGGATACTAACATATTAGCCTCGCCATATGTATTAATATAACACAGAGGAAAAATAATGCATATCAACGACTACAACAACGACATAGAACACAAAAGGCAGAGGAGGAATATAGAATGCTAAGGAGGGAAGAGAAGAAAATACATCACAGAAAGAAAAGAGAACAGATAGAAAAAGAACTCCAACAAAATAATAAACCATCAGAAAACAGAAAATTGTACCAAAAACTTAACAAAAGTAGAAATGAGTTTAAACCAAGAACAATGGTGTGTAGAGACAGAGAAGGAGATATAGTAACTCAACACAGTGAAATACTACAAAGATGGACAGAATTCTTCAAAGAAAAGTTTGAAAAAAACGAAGATCCACTATATGATGGAATTATACTGGATCAACCAGATATCAGAGAAACAACCTCCCCTTCAGTAGCTGAAATGCAAGAAGCAGTTACCAGACTGAAAAACAACAAGTCACCTAGATTAGACAACATTAGCGCAGAATTAATAAAGGAAGATGGAGACTCCCTATTGAATGCGATACACGAACTAATAATGAACATATTTTTACGATAATAAATATTATGGCGTATAAAACTGTAAATATATTATGACTAATTCTTTTCTATTTCTAGTAAATTCTGCGCTCAGTTGAAAATAACTGTTTACCTGCCGGCAGAATTCTCTAGTCGTTCGCCGAAACACCAGCTGAATGAGTCACCTAATGGATGGAAGGTCATCGATGTATCGCCAGACCCTTCTAGATAACGGCATTTCATATAAATAACGGTGATTCTCATTTAGGAGAGTTAGTCAAAAGAAGATATCGCGATTGGGTACTTTAAATGTAACGCTCGTATATATAAATTATTGTAAGAGAAATTAATATAAATAAACTTTAAATAAATTAAATTTATAAATATTGAACCTTTAGTAGAATTAAAATAAGAACAATAAATTAGAATTAATAAAGACTCAATAATATGGAATAATAAACAATTGCCACAAGACTGTAAAACCGGGGTAATTATCCCACTACATAAAAAGGGAGATCAGCTTCAATGCAAAAACTACCGGGCAATAACGCTACTGACTGTGGCATATAAAATACTGTCAAATATTGTGTATAACCGATTGAGACTATGCGGAACAAACAGTTGGGGGATATCAATGTGGTTTTCGCAGACAGAAGTCCACAATAGATCAGATCTTCGTCTTGAGGCAAATCTTGGAAAATACTAATGAAATTAATATAAACACACATAATCTTTTCATTGACTTTGAGGGTGCCTATGATAGCATCCATCGAGAGTTTCTGATCCATGCACTGAAAGAGTTTAATATACCAATTCAACTCATTGATATAGTAAATGAAACATTTAAAGTACAAAGCAAAATTCGAATTCAAAACGAACTAACAGATACAATCCATGTGAGATAGGGCATCTTCCTACGACAGGGAGATGCCCTATTTTGTATTCTATTCAACATCACATTAGAGAAAATAATTAGGGAGTCAAAAGTCAACACCAGCGAAACAATAATAACAAAAAGTGTACAAATATTGGCATTTTCAGATGATGTTGATATCATAGCTAGAAGCGAAAGAGAGATGATAGGCATTTAATGCGATAAAAAGAGCGGCACAAAACAGTGGCCTAAACATTAACGAAATAAAAACCAAATATATGAAGGCCAGTAAATCGACAGGCCAAAGAAACCTACAGAATCTGACAATACGAGACTATAACATCGAAAGCGTGAAAAGTTTTACATATCTAGGTTCACTAGTTACCGCAGATAACAATATCAGTGAAGAAGTTAAGAGAAGAATACATATCGCTAATAAAACATATAATGGACTAATTAAACATCTAAGATCTAACAACATCACAAGAAAAACCAAATGCAAAATATACAAGACCCTGATAAAACCGGTCCTTGTATATGGATCAGAGACGTGGACACTGTCGAAAAGCGATGAGAACCTATTAGGTACATTTGAACGAAAAATCCTTAGACACATATATAAGGGGGTAAAGGAAAATGACATATGGCGCAGAAGATATAACTTTGAACTATACACAGCATACAATGAACCCGAGATCGTAACATCCATAAAGATCGGACGTCTGCGCTGGATGGGCCATGTTGAACGGATGTTGGAGACTGAAACGCCAAAACATATAATGAGGAAA